GTATCTCTCCAGAGAATTAGCTGAAGTGGTCTATGGTCCGGATGAACCCAAATTTGCCTATACATTTTACTGACGTCCGCAGAAACAACGTATTTGTACAGTCGAAATCTGATTAATATATCAAAAATATCGTTTTGTACTTTTGGCCCTACATACTGTAAGTCATTTAAAGACCATCCAGAACTGGTTGGACAGGAACCATCAAATACAACTCTTAATTTGGTGGTAATACTGCTTTCTTTTAAGATACCGTGATGAGGTAAATAATAATTGTGGTTATAACTGTTAAGTGTTTCTATCTTAGTCATATGACCTAACTGCAAGTATTCATGAATAAAATCCCTGTAAAAATTGTAAAACTCAACATTTGTTTGAAATCGTTTTTCTAATGCCAAAAATCTATTAATGGCAGTTTCCTTTGAATCACCTAACTGTTCAGTTGAGTGTTTCAGAGGCAATTTTACAATGAATTGACCTTTTTTATCTCGTGTGGTGGTTTTTAAAAACAATTCTTCACACTGAATGTCATCCTTTGACATATTTAGAGGTACGTTTACCTCATTTATTTCCCAGAACTTTCTTAGATGTTTGTCTTCTGGCACAAAATCTTTTGAAAAGTTGCACGAAGAAAACATTGATGTGTTAATAGTAGCGCCAGCGACAACCCAACCCAATTTAGTGTTTTGTAAAATTGGGCCATTTTTTCCTAGTTTAATATTGCCTTGTACGAGTAGATCCCAGAACAGACTGGAACCTATGATCATATCTATTTTTTGTGAAAGATAAAATTCTGGGTCAGACAGACAGATGTTTTCTGGAATTGAGAAGAAAGTGTTTATTTTCTCGGAAGGAATGGAACAAGTGAAAGGTGTTACATAACAACACAAATCGAATTGAGAATTATTAATGTTTGAGAAAATTGTAAGTGTAACCTTCTGTGTTAAGTTGGAAACAACTTGATTTATTCCTATAATTGATAGTTTGGCTGTAGTCAATGGCAAGTTCAACCTTTGAACACATTCTTTGGTTATTAAATTGGATTGTGCACCAGAATCCAAAAGTGCCCTGCATTTATGGAATTTTCCAGTACTATCCTTAACTTTAAAGGTAACTGTTGACAATAATACAGTGGAATTTGGAACAGGATTAGTTACTAAATAATTTTGACTGGTATTTGCAACCCCTGATGGAATAAAATTGTTTTGTGAACTAGTACTTTGTTCATCAGATAAATTAGAACTGCTTAAATGATTAACAGAATTTTTGTTAGTATTTTCATTAAATTGTTGAATATCGTTATGTAAAAGAGTGTTATGCTTGCGTCTGCACCTGCGGCAGCTACCACTGTTGCATGTATCTTTCGAATGTCCAATACGCAGACAATTGGAACACAACTTCAATGCTACAACTTTGCTCCATCTCTCATTGATTGGTAATTTTAGAAAATCCTGACAAGTATAAATTGAATGGCCTCTTTTACAAAAATTGCATTTTATTTGATTCATGGAAACATTCACTTGGGACCGTGTAGAAATAGATTTATTATGAGAGACATTATTTTTACATAAGTTAGGTTCTTCCTGAGATTGCAAGATATCCTGTCGTTCTTTGAGAAACTCCAAAAATTGATCAAGAGTAGGTAATTCTGTACTAATGTGATGCTCTTTCCACTTATTTTGACTTATTTTGTCTAATTTATTGTAAATTACATGTATAATAGTCATATCAAATAAAGTATCTTTTGAAAGCTTCATACCTTCCAAACAGGACAGATGTTTGGAAATGTCATCTAGCATGCTTCGGAATTGTAAAAATGTACTTCTATTTATTGAATTGATATTGAAAATAGATCTTATGTGAGTATCAACATATTTTTCCTGTCAAACTTTTCGCATAACATTTTCCAAGCACCTTGATAGTCCTGTGATTCATCAAAACCTTTAATCGTTCTTTTCGCGTATGCATCTAGAGATGCTTTCAAAAAATTGAATTTCTGACCAAAATTCAAATTTGTATTTGAATCAATAGTATTTAGAAAATTTCGTTTGAATTCAAGCCAATGATCGTATTCACCGTTAAAAGTAGGAAGTTTAATTTTAGGCAATAAAAAGTGTTGAAGTGAATCATTAACACTTGTGTTTTGATGTACTTGAACAGTTTAATTCAACTCTTGACTAATAAATTCTGTCAGAATTGAAATGGCTTTATAATATTTGTCTTGAAATGATTCTCTTTCATCCATATGCGTTTCTAATTGATCGTCAGAACATTTTTCTTCTATTATTTTCTGCACATTTTCAAATTCACTTAATAATGTGACATTATTTTCGTAACGTAATTTAACATCATTGAAAGCAGGTGAAATTGTTTCATCTTGAATTGAATCAGTGTATTTAGATAAACAAGTCAATCGTATTTCAAGCGAACTACGATTTCTTATTAATTGCCGCAATTCCGCAGCACTCATCGTTAAACTAATTCAGTCGAAACCACTTAAAAACAGAGCTAATGATTTGCAAAAAAATAGGAAGGTAAACAATTGGAAAATAGAAGGAACTGACTTACTTATCGGCTCGTTGTCTGCTATGCATAAATTCACCCAAACCAAAGGTCAAAAATTCGTCGTTGCTCGATATCCTTTACTGATTTGTCCAACTGTATGTTTTTTTTATTAGACTGGTTGATTTTATCTTCTATGAGTGCGTATAGTTGCCCATGTGGTTGACCAGCGATTCATCGATACTCCAGATCCATAATTGATTTGGTCGACTAGCTGCTTTCTTTCCTTGATCGTTTTCAGATGTCTTATTCCAGAATAATTAAAGTTTTTTAATTGAAATTTCGTTGATGTATCACTATATCCGGCTCGAAGGACCAAGATTTCTTTGAATAATTGAATTGAATAAACTGATGTCGAATTTTCAGTTGTTAATAGTGCTGGTATAGTGATAAATAAATAGCGTCGATTGAACTGAACTTTATTATTCGACATACAAATAGCGACTCAACTCCTTCCTTCTCAAGGGACCAGGCCTGTCATTACATTTTAGACACTGTTGCCGGTTTTAACAAAAACATGTGAAAACAAATATATACAATTTTAAACAGAGATTTAGGATCTTACAAACAAGGAAGAAGGTGAGTGAATAAGACTTTTACCCCGACTTTTACAGAACCCCCGAAAAAATAGACGATTTGTTGTGGGGCGAAATGATGACGATACTGGAATTAGCATAGTCGCCAAATATACTTCACTACATGTAACGAGGCTGGATCCATCCACAACGCATGAGAACCTAAAGAAAATTCTTTTAAAAAAAATTACAGAAGTGATTTGTGAAAATCATAAATCTAAATATCCTGAACTATATGCTTCTATGAAGATAATCACAAAACAAGAGAACTTTTCAAAAGCATGGAGACAAGAAATATGGCCTAGTGGAGCCTCAGTATCCAGGTTTTTTCGGAAAAGGAGGATGTCGCCACAGGTACAAGAGGGGGCGGATCCACAATCATGAAAACTGAAGATGTTGATACTATTGTTGAAAATAATTTACAGATATTCCATATAAATATTCAATGTGTTTCAAAAAAGGTGCATGATTTATGCGCTTTTTTGGTTTATTACAACTTTGATGTAGTCTGTTCATTAGAGCATTGGCAAACATTAGACAATTTAACTACGATTAATATACCAAATTATAATTTGACGTCTAGTTTTTGTAGGGACTCACATCAACATGGAGGTGTTGCAATATATTGTAGAGATAATTTAAATGTGACCGTTTTGAATTTGGAAAATTTTATTGATGAACTACACTCAGAATTTTGTGGAGTGTATTTACATAATTACTCTTTACAGGTCATGCTCGGGTGAGTTGAATATATGAATAATCTGGACGGTTTATTGACCAGTTTATTGAAATAAAACAAAAAAGTTGACCTGCTTGGGGACTTCAATATAGATTTTCTTGTGAGTTCAACGTCACTATTCAATTTGAAATGTATGCTTCAATCATTTGGATTGGATATAATAATTTGAGACTATACCAGAATTACTAGATTATCAAAAACTTGTATTGACAACATCGTAACAAACCTTACCGGCCACATTTCTAATGTAGGTATTCTGGAGCCGTATCTGTCTGACCATAAAGGCCAATTTTTATCTCTGACCATAAAACCACCAATGGATACAGAACAATGTGAAATACCCAGAATGTGCTTCACACAACAAGGCTTGAGTAATTTGAAAGCAACACTATCAGTAGTAGATTAGAACGTAATTCAGTGTGCTAATCACGATACAGCTACAAACTGTGAAAATTTTATCAATAATCTACAAAATTTAATGCGAGAATCATTTCCCATGTTGAAAAAATCAAAACACCATGAAAATATCCGTTTTAAAATAAATTGGTACAATGACAAACTTAAATCAAGCTGTCTCGAAGCTGTTAAAATTATTTCCAAAGTGTCAGGCTGCCTGCAAGATATTGAAGCTTATAAACACATCAAAAAGAAATATCATAATGAATTAATAAATCATAAAGAACACGCCTACGACGAATATTAAGAAATAAAATATACAGTAAAGGTCAAACTAAAACAGAATTTTCTGGAAATGATTTCAATGATCACTTTTATACTGTAGCTGTAGATACGATAAAATCTCTTCCACAAGTAGTTTCTGAAGGAGACTATGACTTCAGGAATTTTCCTTCCCCTGTATATTCATTCTTTTTAGAACCAGTATGCCCACAGAAAGTACTGAGTATTATCAATAACTTGGGAAATTCTAGTTCACGTGACATATATGATCTGAATGGCTATTTAATGAAAGCTATTGCTGAACAAATAGTCATGCCATTAACGAACCTCATTAATCAAATCTTCAAGGAAGGCATTTTTCCAGACATACTCAAAATATCCAGAGTTATTCCTTTGTTAAAAAAAGGTAATAAATCATCTTTAGACAACTATCGTCCAATTAGTATTATTAGTATTGTCTCCATAATTGGAAAAATCATTGAAAAATTATTAAAAGAGCGATTATACTCCTACTTTGAAACGAGGTTGTATTTTAGTGAATCCCAATATGGATTTCGGAAAAACAAATCCACAACTCAGGCTGTTTACAAGATGGTGAATGACATAGTGGAGGGTCTTGATCAGTACAAGCACACTTCCTTGACTTTATACGACTTGACCAAAGCGTTTGATTGTGTTTCACATGCATTACTCATTGAAAAACTGAGTCATTATGGTTTAAGAGGTACCATTTTGAGTCTCCTCAGCTCCTATCTTGAAAACAGATATCATTGTGTTGATCTCAATAATATCAAATACGACATCAAACCGATACAACATGGAGTACCTCAGGGTTCAGTACTTGGACCTTTTTTATTTATTGTGTACATAAACGACTTATGTCAAAGTATTTCACCAACAAACTGTATTTTATTTGCCGATGACACCACTCTTGTGGAATCGCATAAGTCACACATCGATTTGATTCGTACTGTTGACGAGAACAAAAACTTAGTCAAAAGCTGGTTCACAAAGAATAAACTCAAATTAAATGAAAGTAAAACACAGAACTCAATTGTCTCCTCAAATCTACTCTATCAGAAAGGAAAAAATGTATCTTTTCTTCGTATAATCATCAACGATCGGTTAAACTGGTCCAGACACGTAGATTATGTACTTCGAAAGCTCTCTCAAGTTTTATTTGTTTTAAGACAACTCAAACCAGTTACCAATCTAAACATATTGAAAATATCTTACTTCTCTTCATTTCATTCTATACTCTCATACGGTATTTTTCTTTGGGGCAACTCAAGTAATGCCATAATGGTATTTCGATATCAGAAAAAAGCTATTCGCATGTTAGCAAATATAGGATACAAAGATCACTGTCATCAACACTTTGTTCAGCTTGGTATCATGCCAGTGCCTTCATTATACATATACATCATTTTGTTAGAGATACATAAAAACATAAACAAATTTTTGGGAAAGAGAGTTTTTGGCTTTCTACTACTCCATCTGATACAAAAAAAAGGGGATGAGAGAATCTTCCAAAGAAAGGAAGGAAGTAATCAAGTTGAATATAAGTAACTCTATACATGGATGTGTAGATCATGCAAAGAAGTAACTTTCAGACACAAACTGAAAGAAAGTCCTCCTGAAACAGCTACTTTCATATAAACATTGAATTACACGAATGAAAAAAATTCTTTCGAAACAAATACTTCTATATGAACACTGAATTATACAGAAGATACTTTTCTCTACTCAGTTTGTATTTCAAACATTTGTTGTGGAATAAGAATCAGATATCATTCACATGAGTTCTACTTTGAATGAATGGTAATAAATTGATATTACAGCGGATAGAGTCACTATAGACCAGCCCCTCCACTTTTTTTAGCCCCGCCCCCTCAGCCAATCAGAATCAAGCACCCCCTCCACTTTTTTTAGCCCCGCCCTCTCAGCCAATCAGAATCAAGACCCCCTCCACTTTTTCATCCCCTCAGCCAATCAGAATCAAGCACCCCTTGACCGCAACAGGTAATCAGTGTGTGAAGCCCCGGCCCTTCCGCACATGGTCAACCAGTCACGGATCCATCAACTCCCTCAGTTGTCACCTATCGAAGCCATACTTTGCCCATTTGTTACACCCTTGCCAATTAAGCTCCGCCAGCAGGTCGGCTATTTTGAATCACGTGGTCGGAAGCACTGTCAGCTGTCAACATCAGATAGCAGTGTCAGCTGTCAACTTCGGTTATCACGTGGTTGGAGGGGGGGAACTGTCAGGTTGTCACGCTATCAAGCGCGTCTTAAGACACTTGCCCTAAGGCTCTTCAGTACCAAATTGGATAATATTATAGAAAATACACACACTTCATTCATGAATTACGATTTTTTTCAAAATCGTAATTTATGAATTACGATTTTTTTTAATGGTCAGCATGGTCAGAAATTGAATCCTGCTATTTGATAGGAGGTTATATTTTTGAGACAAAAAAAATGAAAACCGAGACGAACCCCCCGATTTTTCCGATCAACAAGTAGCATACATAAGGACCAAAGCACAAGAAGACCAACCCAAATTCTGAAAAACTAATATAGTCAAGGAAACAAGTATAAATCTCAAAACCAACAAAAGAACCTATTCAAAAATATTGCCCGAAAGCCCAGGACTAACAAAAAACCTTTGTTTCAAGGAACTGACGAAAATGAGGTCACCAACCTTGTACCTGGTACTTCACGTACTCCAAGTACTATGTGACGAAGACATTCAAATCAATACCATCCATAACCCCATTCTTCCTATTCAATTAGATAACGCCAAAATTATTTATAATAAACACATATTCCTTCACTACATCGATTTGAGTCCAATTATCAATCAATTAAATAACTTCAATGAGGAAAATGTTACAAACCCAATTTCCTATTATGGTCTATCCGAAAATATGCTTTAGAGAGCTGAATATCTCATTCGAACAACTCAGAAAAAAACTGGAAAACCTTCAACCTCATATTCGTGTTAAACGAGGTATGATCAATGGAATCGTCGAAATCAATAAATGGCTTTTCGGAACATTCGACGCCGATGACGGAAAGCGTAACGATCAAACCATCGCAGTTTTATAAAAAAATCAAGAAAATATCATTCACGAACTGAATCTTCAGACCTCACTATCAAAACAACTGATCAATCATTATAATCGAACTATTCGAACGCTCAATTCAAACCAAGAAGCGCTCGAAAACAGCTTGAAAACATCCCAGGTTGCCATTCAAAAAACCATTGTAGATCTCAAAAATTATATCAGTTTTCAAGGTGTAGTACTTTCTCAAATCATTTTGGATTGCCAAAATATCATAACATTCATTGACAACCTAGAAGACGCAATAACATTCGCAAAATTGAACGCCTTGCATAATTCAATTATATCCAGTTCAGATCTAGAAGATATGATAAAATACTTGAGTCAAATTTACGATGAAAGCGAAATTTCAAAATTCGAAAATATTTTGTCATACTATCAATTTTTTGGCACACAAGTTACATTTTCGAACACAAAATTGATTTTCTCAATTCATGTTCCCGTTATCAGAAACGAAGTTTCGCCCTTAGAAGACAAAGAAAGAAGAAAATATCCCGGAAATTGAAATGGTTCCATCCAGACAAAAATGACTCCGTCATTTTTGAATTTAAGGAGGGAGTAGTTATGGAACGACCGTTCCACGATTTGCTGTTCTCATAGAAACGTGATCTGCTGACGGCGCTTTTCCAAGAAATCCTTATCTGGACTTGCGGGACGATGCACATCATTTCTATTCTATTCATTCTGTTTGTAACTCTTGGTAGAGAAACGCGTCACTCATTGTACTTTTATAAAATGAATACTTTTTCAAAAAGACAATTTTCCGTTCCGAGTATTTAACTTGCACTTCATTAATGGATTAGCAAATGAAAATGTGAAAGAAGCACGGAGAATTTACCACAACAGATATCTTAACAGAGTAATTCCATGTGCTAAAACATTCAGAAAGCTGCATACAAGAATATGTGAAACTGGGAGTTCCCATAAAAATGCAGGTGGTGGAATACCAGAAGCTATACTTGATGCGATAAAAGAAGATCCTTCAAATAGTATCAGGAAGATTGCACTGCAGCTGGAAGTCAGCCCAAAAACCGACAGTTCCGAAACGAAATCTTCTATAACCATATCACATACAGCGAGTCTAAGCTCTAAGCTCAACAGGTGAATCCTACATGGACTCTTTACGAGATCATTCTCGTAAAGTGTCCATGTAGTAGAAGTGTCAGTACTTCAGCTCATTTAAGTGTTCTTGCTCGTCAGTATCTCGACATCACGTACCCTAACCTCCATAAAGTTAGCAAGGCAACTTGCAGTAAAATTATTGAAATATACTTTTTTAATTGTCGAATAATTGTCGAGGATTTGTCGTGAAAGAAAAATAATTGTCGCGCATCTCCTTTTTTTATAAGGGGTAACCCTGCTAACTTGATATAAAGTTAAAGCACAGCACCTGTAGTAAAATTTTTAATGTAACTGAAATATTAAAACTTTACTTACTAGTATTTGTCGAATAATTGTCGTAACCCAATCCATATCAGAAAATTAACTGAAACGTATTTTTTTGGAAAATATAGCATTTTTCGTGTCATACCTTGTACTATATGGATATTTTAAACCACATGGCAACGCCGCAACAGGCGTATTTGATTTCTTCATATATTTTTCAAAAGGATCGCCAATGAAAAGTGCTAAAATAAATGTGTAATCTATCTACGTGGAAATTATCGATAATTTTTTTTTGTTTCATATATTTTTGTAATCCTATAATCATGTCGAATATTTTTCGCAATTAGCAACTTATTGACCAATTGTATCTCTTTCGACAATCGTTTATAAATAAATATCAATCAAAAACAAAAGTATTGTTCAGTTGTCGAAACAGCAGATTTGATATATCATATGTAGGTATATTTAAGAAGAATTATGAATTTCTCCCAGCAGGCAAAGTGATCTGTTTTTCTGTTTATCATTTTTTTTACAAAAGACAACTTATTGATCAATTGTCGTATCTCTTTCGACAATTGTTTATGAATGAAAAACAATTGTCGCTCTTCAACTTTTTTTTTAAATAGGTGGCTCTGCTAACTTGATACAAAGTTAGCACGATCATCCCAGTACAGGTCTTACCCCTTATAAAAAAAAGGAGATGCGCGACAATTATTCTTCTTTCACGACAATTTCTCGAAAATTATTCGACAATTAAAAAAGAATATTTCAATAATTTTACTTCAAATTGCCTTGCTAACTTTATGGAGGTCCTACACCTAATCGCTGGATTGGACGTGCAGGACCTCAAAAATAGAATATTCCAGGTATTTTTGAACGTGTCAGACAGTCAATGACAAATCGATTGCAGGCGTGTATTTTATCAAAAGATGGACATTTTGCTTTGACTTCAAGGTCAAAATTGTTTATTCACCTTTGGTTTTTATTCTATGTTGTCCATGGATAGTTTTTAGAAGTGATTTTTTTATCGTAAACGAAGCTCATTATGGAGAAAATACAAGTCACAAAGAAGTTATATTATCAGTTGCTCAATCTAGAAAAATAATAAACTACAGTAAAAGTCAGTGGTGTTTTCCTTTTTTTCACGAAGACGCCACCGGACTTAATAATTTCTTTCTAGTTCGGGCTGAATAAGCACCTTATTACTTCAAATAACTGCAGCAAATTTCAACAAAATAGTTGTAAGGATATTTATAAATACTGTTTTTTCAACTTCAACCCCCTGTATCTCAGAAACGAAGCAACTCCGGACATATGTTCATAGGAAGTTTTTTTAAACGACCTAACGGTAACGAATCACCCTCTGAATTTCGCACCGAAGTTAGGAGACACCCTGTATTTCTGATATCCTAAAAAATAAAGGTGTGAATATAATATTCAAAATCAAAAATAACTTGAGCATGCATATTGAAAATAACAAAGACGAAAGTTCAGTGTCATATAGGTCAGGAGTGGCAAAATTGTCTTGTGGTTCATGTCCGATATTTTATACAGGTCAAACTGGAAGACAATTCAAAGCACTTATGAAAGAATATAGAAACAGTTTTTGGAATGAGAAGATACATTGAACGTATGCTACTCACCTCCCTACAGAAATCCTTCATTTCCAGAGGAAATTGAAACGCGACCTTCTGGAAAGTATGGAAATCAAAAATACCCAATATCTAAGGAACGATTAAACTGAGTTTTCCGTTACTTGATAGGTTCTTACCAGATTATTATGCCAAACTTTTTACCATTCAATAAGTTTTTTACCTGTATTTACATGCTTCTACTAGTCATTGAAATGAGTGTATCTGCTCTTCCATGGTAGTTAAAACTAGATTAGAATCGAATATTTGATTGGACCGTAGAGCATGATGATATTTTCAGAATATGAAATGTTTCATTCTAAAAGTGGTTTATCAAATCTTGTATAGAAAAACAGTTGTCGCGGCTTTGTAAACCTTTCACAGTGAAAAAATTCGTTCGAAAGTTTTTGAGGCGGCGCGGCGGGGGATTCTGTTTTATAATATGTAATTATCACAAATGTCTCTTGTATGTCTCAACTCATTTATGGCCTTTTACAGAATTTCTGTCAACCCTTATGTTATATTTGAAGAAGTATGGACCGCATATAAAAGTGTACAACGGACCAATCAGCACGGCAGTAGTTTCGGCGGACGAAAAGTTCATAGAGTTCTTTCTCAGCTCTCCAAAGCTCATCGACAAGGCTGACGAGTACAGTTTTTTACACAACTGGCTTGGATTGGGATTGCTGACTAGTACAGGTATGGGCTCATAAAATTCATCTGACAAAAATTATGGTGGAGTTGTCATTCGATTGTCATTCGATATATATACAAACTACTGGGCTGTTGTTTAAAGAATACTCTTTGTTATATGGTCGAGCTTTCGAGAATGTTTATTCCCTTTATCAAGACATTAACTTGAGGTTATAGTAAAAAGTCAATGAGAAAAACAAAGTTAATACTTTTCATCATGTAAAAAAGTGTCACACATTCAATTTTTGAGTTTCAGAAAAAAAGTACAAAAAACTTAGTTTATTTAAACATTTGAAAGTGTTAACTTCGTTTTTCTCATTGCCATGTCTGACTTTTTACTATAGCCTCAAGTTAATTATTTTTATAAACTATGTATTTTTGATAAGGGAAAAATTGGATTTTTTTGAATTAGTCTTTCCTGGGCATTCGATATTCATACAATTTTTACCGAGAAACCAATTTTCCAATTCCCATATAGGTACTGCCTGATTTGGTGCAAATGAATTTTTCCTGAATAATATTATACTCTTATTTTACATGTTTTTTGGTATTAATGCTTGTATTGGTCGGTCAGTAGCCGGGCGGTTCGACGTGGATGCTTTGTTCACTCAGTCAATCGGCCGATGTGTAAGTCGATGGTTCAAGCCGCAGGCTGAAAGCTAGATTTTCACTTATTATCGTCCAACCCGTGTTAGGAATCAAAATAGCTGGTTAACGGAAAAAACATATATTTATATTTTTAAACATATTGAGATAGTTAGCTGATAGACGAATCCCTCGTCATAAACTGTGGATGAGATGTTGTAGGTAACTTCACACTAATATAATCAATTTAGTTGAATAAAACAAGAGGTGTTCGTTTTTTGCTAATATCTCAAGAACCATTGCACATATTAAAATTTGAAAAAAAACCGTCAGAAATGAAGACTAGTTATTTAATTTTGGATCAATATTATTTAGATAAGTTGTTTACACGTCCGACAAATGAATATTTCAACATGAGATATAAAACCTAAGTTGTTATTGTTAGCCACAATATTTACTGTATTTTTGATATCGGGTACTTTCTTTTCATTGCATATGATACAGTTGATTCTTCTTTATTATTGCCGTAATTTGAGTTTTATTTCCATCTAAATCGTAAATATTTTTCAATATTTTTTTGTATAACTCGTGAGTGCCAATGAATTTATCAAAATCGTAATATGAAGGTCACACTGATACTTCTGCTATTGTCAATAAAAAACTAAAGCGATATGTGATATTGAAACATTATGAAAATAATACAAAGTGAACTATTCTAATTTGTTTGAACGTGGTTGACAATGTTTCATTCTGAATTGCGTGTTATTTCTTTCCGAACTTATTGATTAAATATTCACTTTTCAGGACTCAAATGGAAGAAACGCAGGAAAATGCTGACTCCAGCCTTCCATTTTTCTATTTTAGAGAGTTTCGTAGATGTTTTTGAAACTGTTGGAGATATTTTTATAAAAAAGCTTGAGGAATATGTTGGAAAAGCTAGCTTCGACATTTACCCTTTGGTATCACTATGCACCCTCGATATAATTTGTGGTGAGTTAGCGAATATAATATTTCATAAGGTTTTTACTTTTTTACGTTTTTAATTAGTTATATGTTTCCGCTTTACTTCTTTGTTGATTTCTGTAGACATATTTGAGTTTTAACGAGAATGAGAATAGATGAATGAAAAAAAGAAAGATGATGAAGAGAAGAGTGAAAAAAAATCAGTGTTGAAAAAAGTGATACAAATCATAATATATTCCACTTCAGAAAATATTTAATTGGTGAATGGACTGACCGTTTCTTGATAGAAATTAATAATACCATATTTATTATCATGCATAATATTCAATTGGGAAAGGAAAGCTAGTATAATAAGCAATGTTTAATTTTGTATAGCATTTTTTTAGAATGAATAATAATAGAAAGTAAAATTTCTTAAGAAGTCTATTACCTTCGCTAGAAGCATATTACTTCTTCAGAAGAATTTACGTTGAATCGACCATTTTTGACTGAGATATATACTATATTCATTTGATACGAGTATCTGTTGTCACTGTCACTAATGACTGTTCATATGGAATTTGTTTGAAGCACATATTTTTTTCAATTATTCATTGATTTCCAAATGACGAATTATCATCTAGTGACGGCTGTATAAAAACACTTTTCCTTCCTGCTAATTGTACGCCTCTGCTCCAACCAATGGATCAAAATGTGATACAAATGATGAAAAACAATTACAAAAAGAAGATTTTACTTAACGCCATAAGTCGAGAGGCAAACATTTCTGAAACTCTGAAAATGTTGAATATCAAAGATGCAATTTTTACAGTTTCTGATGCCTGGGACGAAGTTGGAGAAAGAGCAATCAAATCATCATGGAAAAAAATGTGGCCTAGAATTTGTGAAGATGATGACACTTGGGAAGAAGAGGATCTAATTCCATTACAGGAATTGATACAGTTTGCAACAAATCCTAATGCAAGTTTAACACGTGAAGATGTTGAAAATTGGTTTGAAGAAAACCCAGAAATATATGAGACACATTTAACCGAAGATGAGCTTGTAAATGAATCATTTGACTCATCCTTTGATAGCTCATCAGACGAAATGTCGGTACATGTAGATTGCACTGTCAAATCAGAGGACGCTTTGGAAAGTGTTGACACTTGCATTAAATGGGCTCAGGAAAATGGAATGACATACGATATGGTTAGAAATTTACGTAAAATGCGTGATCAAAATAGACCAATATTTTTCAAAACCTGAGTAATCAGTTACGTGTCAGTTTATTTTCTAATTTCAATTCATTTTTGTAAACCTACATACTAATACAAAATATATCTGCATATGAGTAAATATCTACATATATTTTTTATTTTTTTGTTCCTAGACACTATAATCCGCCGTTTTCAGTAATCCGCCGATGGTCTGGATTTTATGGTGGCGGATTAGCGAGAGAGTACTGTATGGAGAACTTAAATAATCTCAAAAATTTTAGAAAACATACATAAAATAGATATGGGTCTGTAATTCTCTATATATGATTTTTCACCACTTTTGTATACAGGACATACTTTAGCTAATTTCCAAATATCTGGGAATGTTCCAGATATCAGACATGAATTAAAAATTCTCGTTAAAGGTTTTGCCAATGCTCCTGCACAAACCTTCAACAAAAATGATGGGATCATATCTGGGCCTGACGTCAGTTTGTCCTTTAGATTTTTAGTTGCAGATATAACCTCATTTTCTTGAATGGGGTAAAAATGAATATGAACATTATTATTTACTGTACCAACTTTGTTCAAAAGTGAGCCAGATTTTGAATACACCTCACGGAAAAAATTACTGAAGGCATCAACAATATCTTGAGGATTCTCGAGTTTGTTTCCTGAGTAGGTTACTGATCCTGGTATTCTTGTTCTGTTATTCTTAGAGTGAATATATGACCAGAATCTGCTAGGATCTCTAGACAACATTGTTTGTATGTTTGCAAGATAGTTATCATGTGCGGTTTTTATTTGGCTTTTAATCAAAGCACGCAAACGTTGGAATTCAAATCTATCCTCATCACGTCTAAATTTCCTGATTTTTTTTCTGAATTTAGCCTTCTGTTTAATGTCATTTATGATATCAGAATGAAACCATTTAGGATAAACATGACTAAAATTTTTGAATTTGGCTATATGATTCTCAAAAATGCCATATAAAATTGAATATAGGTTATCGACTAATTTATTAACGTCCTTGTACGTACCTAAATTATTCCAGTCAGTTTCCTTTATCTCTCTATACAAAGATGGAAAGTTCGCTTTCCTAAAGTTATATGTGATGTTTGATTGGTTTAACTTGAAATTCTTTTCTTTGATGTGTATATCAGCTATTTTGATACTTAATGCAGGATGGTGGTTATCTTCAGATACAAAAGACAAATTTTCATGGGTAACATAACAAGAAAAAGGTGAAAAAATTAGATCTAACATTCTGTTCAGGTAATTAGTTATACAGTTTGATTTTTTATACTTAAGCATGTCAAAGTAGTTGAGGGTTATACGCGTTTTTGGATCATTAACATCACTTTCGATGAACTGCGGAACATTGAAATCGACAAAAAAAATGAATTTCCCTCATATAAATAATCTAACTGTTCCAAGGCATCAAAAAAACATTCAAATTCATATAATCCAATCGTATCAGGTATATACAAGGCTATGAAGCAGAATGTTTTATGCTCCAAATGACATTTAACTATTAAGATATCAATCAAAGGAAACTGTGTATTAAATGTATTAATATCCATTACTTCTGAATCTATGGAGTTCCTTAAAGCAATTAATACACCTTCCCCTGTTACCTTATCCACCATTTCCAGTTTGCGATCTTTTCGATGTACACAATAAGCGCTTGTAAAGGGTTCACAATTTGAAACATCCTCACGCAGCCAGGTTTCAGTTAACACTATTAAATCAAATTCACAATCACTGATAGCTGCGTTGAATGAGTCAATTTTACTGTTGAGACCCCTGACATTCTGATAATAACATAAGATACTGCGTTGGTTTGGTTTACTATAACTGCTGGACGCATTTAGTTTAAAGCCTTAATTTACTGACTAATTGGACTTTCCAGTAGTTTACATTACGCAGTAACTTTTCGGGATGAACTTTTCAGTTTGCCCTTCAATTCACTTCAGCAAAGTTGCGCATTTACCTGACTAACGATATGCCGTTGAAAAAGTTCTGAGATTGTGAGTATATCCGGAGATATCCGGAAAAAACATAAATTTTGAAAAATGGTTAAATTTTTTTCTGGCTTTATTTTTCGAAGGATTCGAAAATAAGTTGCACTTCCAAATGCACTTCCAAATTGCCTCTTCCTCCCTGCTACATAATGGTGTTTTTAGATTTGATATCCGATGTTTCGTCTTCCGGACACCATCATCAACTTTATTTTTTCTTATGGGGGCTTATGGGAAAATGTATTTAAACTTGTATTCCACGACAACCACATCGAACTATGTTCAAGTTATTGAATCGAAATCTCACCGAGTTTGGTTCGTTTGAAATGCCAATAAAGAATACGAAGACAGAAACAACAATCAAAATTTGATAAATGAGGTGTGTCTTTTCAATGAGAATAGAACTTTGAACAAATAACAATAATTAACTAAAATGTAAAGACAAAAGTAAATCACAGCAAATGCTCAAAATGCTGGCCTTGTTCATGATAACACAACTGTGCCTTTCTTCGAATATTATTCACTGCACGATTAATTTCCCTCCTTCTCAATTTTCCGAACTTTCTAACAATGCTGTGTTGAAGGTCCTCAATATTTTGATATTCCCTCGGAGCATAAACTTTATTTTTCAGTGTACTCCATAAGAATGTATCAAAAACACTCAAGTCTGGAGACCTTGCTGGCCATTTCACCGGCCCATTATTCCCTATCCATTTATCACAAAACCTTTCAGTCAGGTAATTAGATACTCGTCTGGTAGTGTGCGGTGGAGCACCATCATGCTGAAACCAGATGTTGTTATGGTTACCCAAAAGTAGATCATCCGAATAGTCTTCGAAAATCGACATTAAAAATGGGTGATAGGTTTCTCCATTCAGAATTCCGTCAAATGAATTAGGACCCAAAATTCTATCTTTGTGAATTCCTACCCACACATTAATACGTGTGAGCAAATTTTTCGAAACTGCCTGGGTTTTTTTTTTGCTCCAAATGTGTTCGTTATTTCGGTTGAATATCCCACAATTAGTAGTAGTGCTTTCATCTGTCCAAATTACATTTTCCAAGAAAACAGGAAAATCAGGTCTTCTTATTAGCGAATTACAAAATTTTAATCGCCTCTCGGGATCACCTGTATGCAATTTTTGAGATATGTGTATTTTGTTTCATTTTAAATCGCTTTTTTTGAGATGTCTCCAAGCACTTGTATGACAAATATTCATTTCGGAGGATTTAGATTTCCCCGGGTTCCTGTTTATCTGCAAATTATTAATTTCTATTGAAAATGACACAATGTCTAACCTACCTCATGCATACCTCATTTATCAAATTTTCTTTTGTTTCTTGGTCCATTCTGTCTCCGTATTTTTTCCTCGGCTTTTCAAATGAACCAAACTCGGTGAGATTTTGATCCAATAACTTGAACATATGTGGTTGTCGTATTTCGGGATACAAGTTTAAATACATTTCCGATGTCCTAACACTGTTTCTATCGTATTTGTGACACATTTGTATCATATCTCTTTATTCTTCATTCGTGAAAGCCATTGTTCGCCAAAAATGCAATGACTTGTACAATAACAAAATATCATTGAGTGTAACAAATCGAAAGTCAAATTTAGGAACATCGAAGTCAAAGCCTATTATGATAATAATTAACTTTTTTCAATATCTTCAATTTTTCGAAAAAGAATGATAACTTATCTTTGGAAAGGTGAAATCTGGTTCTATTCATAACAGAAAGAATCAAATGTAGCGCTCATGAGAAAAAATAAAGTTGAAACGAAAACGCCGGATAGCAAATCTGAAAACACCATTATGTAGCGGGAAACAAGTGGCAATGTGGAAGTGCAATTTATTTTTGAATCCTTCGAAAAATAAAGCTAGGAAAAAATAAAAACCATTTTCCGAAATTCCTGTTTTTTCCGGATATCTCCGGATATACTAGTAATTTCTGAACTTTCTCAACGGCATATTGGTAGTCAGGTAAATGCGCAACTTTGCCCCAATTAAACCATCTTCGTATCTCTCCCGAAATCCCAATGGTGAGGATCAAATTTGAAACACCCTGTATATGATTGGCTGGAGTATAGGTTACACTTGAGTTTCAAGTTTTGTGATCAATTATATTTATTATAATTTATATTTGTGTTCTGTGAATCGAATTGAATCGACAACAAATTTTATTTTCTGAATGCATCGTGACACAGAACACCAATATATTATGTGTTCTGTGACCATGAACCAATAATCTTTCTATACCTGGTGATTGGGAAAAGTGCTTGTTTAAGATTTTTTATACGTCAGAGGTTTCAGTTTAACTTTCTATTTTCCTTTTTTTTTCACAAATAACAATATATTGTAGGTTTTTTCGATTGTACGTAACGACAATGGTATTGACATATGCAACATTGATAATAACTGATTTCACTGAGTTCAACAAAACTCAAAATTTTCCCCCCAATATGGCGCCGTTCATAGAAACATGGAAGAATCAAACCTGCTGGAATATCTGGAAATTAGTGAACGTGCATACATTTAAATTTTCTCCAGAACGGCGAGCAAGAAGTTATTCACTCATCATTGTCAAAATCATTCTTATGAAATATCATTAATTAACATATTTGAAATATATTCATGAATTAACTGTTTTCCTAGAAGTAATATTGTAATTATTTTCTCTACCTGTTTTGCCAGAAATAATCATTCATCTGATTGAGTTTTGGCATAAAATGTCAATAATTAACATATTCAATAAATTAATTGATGTAGGAAATCATCATGAAAAATGGGAATTGAAACTTTCTATGTTTTTTACCACTTTTACAAAAGTGGTACCACTTTTCTTATTTTTCATTACCATATTCATAATTGATCTGGAAGTACTATTTTATTGCTACTGTTATTTTGAATCTACCTGTTTTGCCTGATTTAATGATTTATCTACTTACTACCTGAGTTGAGAAGTTTCAGGCCTAACACATAGATGGCACTCGTCTCATTGCATTCACCGCTATTTCAGTTAGTACTAACCTTCAAAAGAAAGCTGTTGAGATTTCACGATATTCTATTCATAAGTTTGTGAGTTTTTGTGCTAAGAGTGACTACTTTTGTTATTTCAAAACAATGGTTCAAAAACAATTCCTTGTTTTATTTTTACACTGCTTGTGTGAAAAATACCGTTCAAAAGAAGCAATTGTTGGAAAACTGTTACAAAGACTTTGCTCCATCAGAAACAACAATAAAACGTTGGTTTGCTGACTTCGAACGTGGTCGTATAGACACCGATGATGCAGAACGAAGTGGACGCCCACGATAGCATCTTCATTTTAATCAGGTTGGAAATCTATCCCTTACCCTTTCAACTGTCTTTCGTCAGGAGGACGAGTGGTTCATGACGTAGGGAGTTTGGTGGCGACATAAAGGTCAGTGACATCTATGCCGCTCTGGCCTTGTGTATTCCTTCCTGACTGGGGTATTTGATGAACAAACTGTCCATTTTAACAGACGTCGTGGGGCCTTCACTCAACCGAGCGACGGGGCCTTCTGAATCGAGTGGGGTCGTCTATAGTGTAGTCTACAGCTTCCCTGACTAATGGGTTATCATGAGTTTCCGCTGACTCGAAAACCCTGATTCCTCGACTGAATGGACTGCCGTATAGTTAACAGCTTCAAATTTCTGCGGATGGCTTCATTCCGCACGAACCATGGATCATTCACCAGCATCCTGATTAATTTATTTTGCAACCTTTCCAAAGTGGAGAGGTTTGTCGGAGCGGTTTTTCCTCAAGCGCCTGAAGCATACATAATGACAGGCTTGAACATCGTATTATATAGTAAAATCTTATTTTCAAGACTGAGCTTGGAGTTCCGATTTATCAGAGGATAGAGTTTGGCTATCCTCATTTGTACTTTGCTCTTGATGTGTGCAATGTTATGTACCCAGGTGAGTCGGCGGTCTACCCAAAGACCTAGGTATTTAACTCGCGTTTGCCATTCGATCTTCCTGCCTGAAATCGTGACTCTTGTATCTGAAGAAACGTTACGTCTCCCCAAATCTATCGCCTGAGTTTTCCTTGGATTCACCCGAATCTTCCACTTTCAGGCACCAGCGTTCGAGGTCGTCCAATGCACGTTGCATGTAGACGACCGCCAATTCTCGACCCATGGAAGAAGCGAGGAGAGCCGTGTCATCGGCGTATAGGGAAACCTTCACGTGATCGAACCTCGGAAAGTCGCACACGTAAAGTCTGTACAATAGTGGAGATAGCACAGCTCCTTGAGGCACTCCAGCTTGGATTTTCCTGACAGGAGACAGGATTTCTTCAACTCGGACCTGAAATGTTCTGCCTTTCAGAAAGGACCTAATCCACCGGATCAGGCCCCGAGGCAGGTCGAAATCGAACATTTTGTGTAATAAGCCTTCGTGTCATACTCGGTCGAAGGCTTTCGAAATGTCCAGGAGGACAAGATGGAGTATCTTCCTATTGTTCAGCTCTGAGATGGAATTTTCAACCAGTCTCAGGGCCTGCAGCTCGGCGGAGTGTGCCCTCCTGAAGCTGAATTGTTCATCAGGCAGAACATTTCAGTCTTCAACTTCTTCGGTCAGCCTTTGCAGCACAACACGTTCAGCCAGCTTAGCCGTTGAGCAAAGCAGACTAATCGGACGATGATTCTGGGGAAACAGCGGGTTCTGGCCCTGTTTCGGAATCATGACAACCACTGCATGCTTCCATCTTCGAGGGAAGTATCTGAGGGCGATTGAGCTGTTTATTATATCCAATAGATATCTGATTGAGTTCTCCGCGAGCTGCTTCAACAACATATTGTTGATTGAATCAATTCCCGGAGACTTCTTGGGTTTGGATGCCCTAATGTAACCCGTTAGTTCTTCCTCCGAAGCTGGACGAATCACGTCGTCATCATTTTCCCTGAGGATTCGCTGAACTCGCTGATCCAGCCGGATATCACCTGCGGGGTAGTAGCAGATATCGCGCTGTCCGTGAAGAGGGGAGGGAGCGGTCTTTCTCTTCCCGAGCCTGCGGGTGACTCGCCATAGCTCATCACCCCCAGGTTCGAGAGATTCCAAACACTCGCTCCACCTCCCGTTTCTGTAGTCAGTGATGGCCTGTTTAACTTCGTTAGCCATCCTGGTAGTCGCAGTCTTGTCTCCAGGATAGAGAGTCCCCTAATAAACTCGTCTGAGACGATTTCTCAAGGCTCTTTATCCTGGGAGGAAACTCATTATAGCTTCGCAGAGGACACTCTGTCCTGGTTGTGGCTGCGCAGAAAGCGTTGTTCACAGACAATTCGAAATCAGCCACCGCCGCGTCGAGACCGTTGCGAGTTTGAAGCGCCTCACGGTCCGTACGTGTCTCCACTAGATGAGCCTTGAAGGCTTCCCAATCCATGGATGATCTCTCACCAGAAAACATAAACAAAATCACCAAATACTTTTTTGAATGACCAAAAAGTGAAGTTGCATGAGTTACCCGACATTATGAAGATATCAAAATAACGTATTGGCTTTATATTGCATGAGCATATGACAATGAGAATGCTCTGTTCAAAGTGGGTGCCGTGCGAGCTTATTGTTGACCAAAAACAAGAACGTCTTGATGATTCTGAGCAATGTTTGGCCATGTTTAAACATAACAAACCGAAATTTTTGGGTCGATATGTGACAATGGATGAAACATGGATCAATCACTTCACTCCGGAATCAAAACGACCGTCATCTGAGTGGAAAGCAACTGGTGAACCTCGTCCAAAGCGCCAGAAAGCAGAACAATCGGCTGAAAAGATTATGGCCTCGCTACTTTGGGATGTGCGTGTTGTAATATTCATCTACTATCTTGAGAAGGGAAATACCATCAACAGTGGATATTATAAAGCGTTATTGGAAATTGCAAAATAAAACGCATATGGCAAAAATTGTTATTTAATAAAGACAACGGACCGTCACACAAGTCAATACAAACAATGGCAAAATTATATGAATTAAACTTCGAATTGCTCCCACATCCACCGTATTCGCCAGATTCGGCTCCCAGCGACTACTGGCTGTTCGCAGACTTCAAAAAAATACTCACCGTTGAGAAAATTCGCTCGAATGAAGAGGTTATTCCCGAAACTGAGGTCTATTTTGAGGCAATAGATAAATCATTTTACAAAAGTGGTATTGAAATTTAAGAGCGGCGTGGAATGATTGTGTGGCACTTGGTGGAGATGACGTTAATGAATAAAGCTAATTAAAAAAAACGTGTTTTCTCTCTTAGGCCCGAAACTTTTTAGCCCATTCAGTTTTGTAATTACCTATTGTCGTATAAAAAAATTGTAGAATGGTTTGATGTACCAGTCCAGCTGATGAAGCTAACTCGTAGCGAATCGCGTCTCAAATGAAATTTATCATCATGATTAATGAATATTTTGGTATTTCCAATGTATCTTGATGTTTTTACCCTAATTCAGAGGCCGCAATGGGAGTCTCAATAAACGCTCAAGAAAACTCCCACTCCGAGTACGTCCGCAGTGTGAAAGAAATTTGCGCCATCGTGATCAGCAGAATTTTCTCTCCCCTTGACCCCCGCTTGTATCCCCTCACGTGGACCAGCATCCGAGAAAAAATAGCCGTCAAAAAGTTGCATGCACACACCAATTTCATCATCGAGAGGAGAATGAAAGAGGTGGCTGTGAATGGGATTGATGATGGCATCGATGACGTTGGGAGAAAGAAGAAACTGGCGTTCCTGGACATGCTGCTAAAGAGCTCCGTCGATGGGCAATCCCTGTCAATGGCAGACATTAGGGAGGAAGTTGATACGTTTATGTTTGAGGTAAGTTGTCAACAATATTCATTTTGTTATATTATTCGAAAGTGAAACACCAGAATGGAAATACTGCCACTCAAAGCACGTTTCGATAACCAAATCAAAATCTCAAGGAGATGACCAAAATCTCTATCACAACTAACTTAGAGCTATCATATTCATCTGGTTGACCCACCTTCGATGATGATGATATCAGATGAGTGTCGAATGTTATCGTTATTGTGTTTCACTTCTCTAATACTGACTACCTGTTATTCACTTAATGTGCAGTATATTAAACATACAATGACGCAGCTTCGTTTGTGTGGACTTAATTTTTTATTGTTTAAATTGTTTAAAATTTTTGAACAGCATTTTTTTTAAGACAAAACACAAGTACTACAGGAAAATCCTAAAGGCGTTCTCACAGCGGTGCCTGTGAAGTAGTGATTCACATTGGATTTGCATCGCTGGAGATTAACTCCGTTTGAAAAAACGTTCTCAGGAATTTTATTTCACATAAACGCAGTTCTCTAAATGAGAGAGTTCTTAAACAGTGAAGTTTGAGGTGTACTGAGTTGAACCTCAAAACGATGAGCAGGCTCAGTCCGTCGCGTATTTCTGATATAGATAGATAGATAGATCGATAATATATTACCTTTTTGTGCCATTTGTACAATGTATAGGTTCGTCACATAGAATAAGAAATATTGTACAGTAAATAAAAATTGTATCACGCAAATATCACAAGAAACAAAATACATTGTTACATCATATTAAAAGATTAGACTCATCAGTTTTCATGTATGGTTCATATACTCATTCAGATCATAAAAACATCTATTCGAAAGAAATTTCTTCAATTCCACCTTGAATTTTTTTGGTGAAAGTTGCATTAGGTGATTTGGCAATAAATTATAGAGGTGAACACCCGCCCATTCTGGGGATTTTTTGTAGTAAGTGTGATTGAGTTTTGATTGATATAAGTGTTAATTTGTTCATTCCATTGAATGTTTGAATCTAAAACAGTTCCTAAAAATAGAGTTTGTTGGCTACATTTAACAGTGTAACCATCAAATTCCATCATATCCATTGTGTCACCTCTTCTTTTTGTGAACTCCATTATTTTTGTTTTTGAAATGTTCACCAATAGGTGATTAGCCAAACACCATCGGGAGAACTGTTCAATGACATTTCTGATTTTCGAAATTATTTCCTCAGGAGTGTGTCCGCTGACCACAATCGTTGTGTCATCTGCATACATGAATAGCCTTCCCTCCTTTATATAGTTGGGAAGGTCATTCACATATAGAAGAAACAACAAGGGTCCAAGAACACTCCCCTGAGGAGTTCCAAGTTCTATTTCATGTTTTTCAGAGGTATAGTTATCAATTTTCACTACCATTTGTCTTTCCCTTGTGAATGACATGAGCCAGTCGTTAATATGACCACGTATTCCAAGAGAATTTAACTTGATTTTTAAAATTTCATAGTTTAGGGTGTCAAAGGCTCGGGATAAGTCAAAGAAAATTCCATATACTAACTTATTGGCATCCATTTGGTCATAAATATATTGTACGAGTTCAGTAGTGGCTGTTTCCGTACTGAGGTCTTCGCGGAAGCCATATTGGCATATTGTCAATGATTTGAATTTAGCCAAGAAGTCATTTATTCGGATACACATGCCCTTTTCAAATATTTTTGAAATTGGATTCAAGATAGAGATACCCCTGTAGTTTTCAATACTTTCTGGATCACCTCTCTTGAATATAGGAATGGTTTTGGAAATTTTTAGGACTGATGGAAATTTTCCACATTCTACAGAGAGGTTCAACAAATCAGCAATATAGGACGCTAGGAATTCATGGCAGTTTTTTAACAAAGACATTTGAACTTCATCTATGCTAGTGGATTTTTTATTTTTCATTTCCAAGATTATGTTTTTTATTTCTTTCTCATCAAAAGGCTGGAAAAAGAGAGAGAAAGGATTGAAGGAGGAAGTTGTGCAAATATTTTCCTCATCTGACATGTTAACAGTTCTGCCCACTAAGTTTTTTGTGAAGTATTCCGCAAATAGATTAGATATTTTGCTTTCATCAGAGATTTTTTTATCATCAATAGTCAAAGATATACTTTTTGTTGTAATATTATTTTGATGAGTTTTGATTTTTACTAATTCCCAAATTTTTTTGGTTTTATTGTCCGAATCGTTTATAATATTCCGATAGAACTCTCCTTTCTCTTTTTTTATCCTTTTATTAAGTTCATTACGAATAGATTTATACCTGATTTCTACATTCTCGTCGTGCGATAATTTTCTCATCCAGTTCAATTGCCTCAATGAATCCATATCTTTTTGAGACCGTTCACTGAGATTGAATTTCATTCGGTTCTGAATTGTACCCTTACAGGCGGGGTACTTTTTTTGGGGGTGAGATACCTCAAAGCACCAATAAAAATGATTCCAGAAACTACCGAAAACCACATCTATGTCATTTGACACGGGAAGTTGTAAGGGCTCTTTATTGAATAAGTAGCTGAACTCCGATACCGTGTCAGAGTTCGAAATTCTTTTTTTTATGAAAGGTGTAGTACTTACATAATCCCTATGAACTGACCATTTCATGTACTGTGCTAGATGATCTGAGAATCCGGGGTCTAAGTTTTTGATGATCAGGATATTATTTAAGTTTGATGAGACGTAATCTAGCCCGGTAGTACTAGTTATACCATCGGATCGGGTAATGATACGCGTTGGTTCGTTGATATGGTTGATAAGCCCATATGAGTCAAGTATGTCGAAAAGCGACTTTGTTTCTGAGCAGTTAGTGTTCAGAAAGTTGATATTCAGATCACCACAAAGAATTATGTGTTTGTACTTTTTATATACCGCTCTTGGTGGAATCAATTGTGCCAAGTCACTTGAACACTTCCCGTGGAAGTATCTATAGAAGAGAGACAAATCTCCAACCTTGTTCCCGACTATCAAGGTTGCAAGTGATGTTCGCGTCTCCAATCAGGCGGATGGCTCTTTTCCGGATGGAATCCAGCAGCTTCAGGGTATGTTTGGGAGCGGAGCTCCATACATGAGAGCAATACTCCAAAGAAGGTCTGATCTGAGCAATATGAAGCATTAAAAGTTGCTGAGGTGTGTACAGTTTTCTGGTTCGGAACAGTGTTACAAGCTTTTGAGAAGCAGCCTTTGCAATTCCAGCGACATGATCGAGCCAAGATATATTGGTGTCCATTTTAACCCCCCAACAAACTTATCGAAGAAGAATTGTCTGACCTGACATTATTATATCAGGTTCGGAAACATTTGTCTTCTTGGAGAAAACCGACGCCTGGGTTTTTATGGCATTGAATTGAACCTGGTTACTCCCACCCCAATTCGAAATTACTGCTAGATCCTCGTTAAGATATTCAACCTCCTGCTGCCGGTGAAGATGTGCATCCGCAACCGATGTCCTGGAATGCAAATGTAATGACGAGACAAGTGTGCTGTCGTCAGCAAAGCAATATATTTGATACTTGGTTTTGGTAAAAGAACAGATGTAACTGCGGGTTTCTTCAGAGAAAACAATGTGGATGTGGCATTCAGAACACATGCTATCTGATTTCTTTTTCAATGACAAAAATAAAGTGGACAAGTTGGAGAAATCTGGAGTTTATAAGCTTAACGGAGTGTGATAGTGTTTATATGGGACAATGTGGTTGAAATTTCTCGAAACGGTATGCTGAACATAAAAGGTCCTTCAGACTAGGTAAAAAGATTCGACGTTTTCAAACTATTTCTTGGTATGCTACCACAAGTTCCCGGATCTGAGCGATACGGAAATTTTGAACTATTCAAGGAAGGGTTAAAAAAGCAATTATTTGGAATCCTTGAAAATGCTTAAGCATAAACATTGCGGGTGCACAGGTAAACAAAATACAGGTACTCATATGAGTTAAGTACCTCTTTAATTACCTACAGTGGTGTTATATAAGAGCTAATATAATCAATCATTTTTATGAATGAATCGAAGAGGTTTTTTATATGTATAATTTTTAAAATTCTTGCAAAGCGCTTTCGACTTTCGTCATCATCAGTGCTCACTTGTCAGGCAACAGGAAGTATCAAAATGAGTACATGGCACATTTGTATAATTTGACTTATATAAAACAAAAAAGGCTTACCTATAGCCAAGAAAATACATTTTGGATTGAGGCCATGTGGCTCAGTCAAGCCTGACAAGTGAGCACATGAGATGACGAAAGTCGAAAGCGCTTTGCAAGAATTTTAAAAATTATACACTTTAACCCTTAGTCGACTAACGGTACTTTAAAGTCCAAGCGTTTCAAAGTTCCATATCTTCAACAGAAAATATATTTGGCTGCCGAGGGCCTGTTGGTACGTTAAAGTACATTAGAATAACCAACTGAATAAACGCTTGAATGTAGGCAGCTAATAGTGCATGTCAAAAGTGAGGTTGAAGTTAATGTGTCACAGGTGGTTTATCAGCTCTAAAAAAATTATACTTTTCCTGTGTTTTATCAAGCCTGAGGTGAGTACATCTATATTTTTCACAATAATCATGGCTTATGTGCTAGCCAATACTTTTCAACAAATGAGATACTAATATCTCGTAAATCGGGTAAATTATAATTGGTACCTAGAAGTACCTTCAGTCTTATATGGCTGCTTTTGTAAAGTTTGTAGTGGACATTTTAGGTGAACTACAATTGAAGCTACATTACTAGATTTTCCTTCGTGTTTGAAATCAACTATTAGTGGTCATTTTGTTATAGATGGAAAAAAAAGACCGATATTGGACCAGACCATTGACTGACGTTGAATTGCCCGCAGCAGCTGAAGAAGCATATGAGGATTGTATATTTGCATTAGATAATAATTATGATACAAATATAGAAGACGACGATGCATTAGAAGAAAATGAGGACATGTCATTAGCAGACGTAGAACATCCGCAAGTAGAAAATCCAAATCCAAACAATATATGAAGCAGAACACTCTGATTTTGATTCAGATGACAATATTCCTCTTTCTGAACTATTGCATATAGAAAAAGCCCAAGAGAGAAAGTGGAGAAAGAAAGATATGCATGAGATAACCGCAGATTATGATTATTTTGTGGGGCCAGTGGACAATTGTTTTGAAAATTGCAACTCGCCCATCGATGTTTTTTTGACGTTTTTGTTGCCTGTTGTGGAAGATTTAGTTTTCCAGAGTGATTTGTATGCAATACAAAGAGGCAAACAACTGAACCTCACAAAAGAAGAACTGTACGTATTTATTGGAATAAACCATATGATGGGTTATCATAGACTGCCTTCTTGAAAGCATTATTGGTCCACAGGCGATGATATGGCTATACCATTTGTAAGTTCCAGAATGAGACGAGATCGTTTTGATGCAATTCTCAGTAATTTGCATGTAAACGACAATACAATGATACCTCCCAACAATAACGATAAACTTTATAAGTTACGTCCTTTTATGCAAACATTGAATCAAACTTTCGACAAACTTTATAAAGGAACACGGGAAGTTAGCATCGACGAGAGCATGATATTATTCAAGGGCAGAAGTAGTATCAAACAGTANTTGAAATTGTCAGTCGAACCACATTTGGATGCTTCAAATTATTTTTTATTTCACTATGTAATTCATCAAACGTTGTTATTGACATACGAGAATAAAGAACATTTTTGGATGTTCACGTAATTCCGAATACATTGTAACGAATGCATCTTTAAGTAATCGCTTTTCAACAATGGGGTGTACCCATATCTTGAACTATAAGTCAAACTAGAAAATTCATGCCAAAAAATTTGATACCAGATAAAAATATGAAAAGGGGTGACTACGACTTTAGGCATTCCAATTTAGATATTGGTGTTTTCAAATGGAAGGACAGCAAACCTATTTTCTTTTGCAGTAATTATCACCGAAGCGAAGAAACAACTGTGAAACGGAAGCAAAAGGATGGTACATCAATCGATGTCATCTGTCCATATATTGTAAAAGATTATAATCAAAATATGGGCGGCGTTGACCACGCTGATCAACTTCGTGCCGCCTTTGGTTTATCTAGACGGTCAAAAAAATGGTGGCACCGGTTATTCTGGGGAATGCTTGATATTGTTGTCATTAACTCGATAGTGCAAGGCTCGACGATTTATTCACAATTGGCCAAGGGAACGAAAAGAAAATCTTCGAACAAAATTCTACCATGAACGCACCACCAAAACGCCGTAAGACTAACTATTCCGTAGTAAACGACGTGAGGTTAGCCAATAAAGGTGTTCATTGGATAATATATGTTCAAACTAGAGGTAGATGTGAAGTATGCAGCCAGGAAGGTATACAATCTAGACCTCATTCCAAGTGTTCCACTTGCAACATTCATCTTTGCAGTAATGAAAAGAAGAATTGCTTCAATAGATTTCATGAAATACAGATATAATTATGTTCAGCTATGTGATAATTTTTAATAAAATGAGCCAATTTCAAATTTTTTTTTGTTTTGGTGCCATTGCAGCTGACGGTACTCAAGAGTACCGCCAATTTTTTTCAAAGAAAGATAATTCGTAAAATATAACTACAAAAAAAAACAAATATTTTCAATACTCTGGCAACTAAGGGTTAATTCAAAAAACCTCTTCGATTTATTCATTCAAATAAATGTATTCAGCTTCTCCAAATCTATCTAATCATTTTTAGTTTAATGTATAAGTTTGAAAATGTCCTTAAAGGACGAAACTGTAGTAACGTACTAAGCCAATGAATATTAGTTCATGAGCGTATCAAGAGTCGAAAGTATCATCAGAATACTCCTGAATTGTATTAAGCCCCCACCAACCAGAAACATTTTGACTTCTTTTCTAAATCTATTGTAAACCATGATTTCTTTCATTTGGACTGCCAGGTGATTGAATAGTTTATTACTATTGAAAATAATTGAGTCCCTCATTGAGGAGCTCGTGTGATTAGGCAGTTCTATATTGCTATTGTGACAACGGGTCTTATAAGAAAAAGTGAGAATCACAAACACATGATGTTTCTTTATCGAACAGATAGTTTCCAAAATGTGTCAGGAGGCTACTATTAAGATACTATGAGCTTTCAAAAGAGGTTAGCATATAACCCGGGAAGCAACTTTGCACATGTATAGGGCAGCCTTTTTTGAAGAACAAAAATCGTTCGAAATAAATTACTGAAGCAGACTCCGCTGAAGGCAATTCCGTATCTAATATGGAAATCTATAAGTGCAAAATAGGCTGTTCTTAGGTGGACAAAGCATAGCTCTGTAGAGATGGCTCAATTTCATTGGTTGATATCCGATTAACCCAGGATGTATAAACCTCTGAAGAAGCTAGACCCTCACGTCAGCGAAACATCAGGAAGAAATTCCAAAAATCCATGGCCTTCAAACCCGAAAAACAATGACACTGAAAACTTCGGCCGCGAAAGCATTTGCCATTTTATTCCTAAGGAATATTCCTTCATAACAATAGGTGCGTTTAATTTTCACTAATTTCAAGGTTGATTCATACACTCAGTCTCAAGTGGTAACTAAGCTAAGTTGCTTAGCGTAGGAAATCATAAACAGTTAATCTTTAATGTCCATGCACGTATACAGGAAGTTCCAACGAAAACTTGATCCCCCCTGTGTCAGAAACGGACGTGTAATCGAAAATTTCAAAGAAAACGTCGGAGGAAATCAACAAAAGTAATATCAATGGCAAAACAATCAACGGATAAAGTGTTCAAAATTAAGTCCATCTAGTTCCATACAAAAATACAAAAGTAATATCAATGGCAAAACAATCAACGGATAAAGTGTTCAAAATTACCTCCATCTAGTTCCATACATTAATACAGTCTATTTTCGAAAGCGTTTCTTACATTATTGAAGATGTTCGGAGTCAGAAATTGGCACTCCCGAACAATTCCCTGTCGCAGGTATACTAGATTTGTAGAATTTATTCAATTAGTAGTAAACGTTTTGAAATGGACAAGACTGTTAGTTTTTTCTGCATTGGTAGTTTCTGTTGAATCTAGTTGTCGCAGAACAAAAACTAGATAGTTGGCCATTGTCACTTCTTCACATGGTTTATTCTACTGAAGAAACAATAGAAATTGTTGCTACCTATTATCGAAATAATGAATGTACTAAATCTGTTGCAAGAATTAATAATACGAATCATCCAGACCATAATGTGAGCCATCAATACTTTAAACAGTTGATGGATACGTTTCGAACTTCAGGTTCTGTTCACAACAGAAAACATGAAGTATCCCGTCCTGTCAAAAATTACGGAGTTGAAGTTTGCAGTTTTAGAACATGCACAAATGGATGATCAACAATCTATCGGACAAGTAGCTATTGCATCTGGTGTATCAGCTAGTGGTGTTTTTCAGATTTTGAAAGCCTTAAAATTCCATCCATTCGGAATGAGGCTAGTTCAGGAATTGAACGAAGATGATCCTGATCGTCAACTTCAGTTTTGTGAGGTGTTCAGCGAGAAATTTACAAATAACCCAAACCTATTTTTCAGACGGAAGTTCTTTCATTATGAATGGTGAAGTGAATAGACATAATTGTTTTTACTGGAGCGATGTGAATTACAAAAATTGAATGTCTGGGCCGACATTTTTGGTATTCATATTTTTTGACCATTCTTCGTTGAAGGTAATCTCTATATGCACAAGTTGTAAGTTTTTTGAAAATGTTGAATTCATTAAGACTCAAAACTTGTGACATCCTTAATATAGTTTGAGCCATTCTCCTCAAAAGTTATTCACTGTCTCTGCTTGAATATTTTCATCAAGCAGAGAAAGCGAATGACTTTTTGGGGGAAAAACAAATCTGATATAAGATGAGTGCTAGTTTTTTCATATTATTGAATAGTCAGGTATATCAATATTTCGTTCTTATTTTTTGTCTTGCACCTTGAACCTCCTTTTTATATTTTTTCAGGGTCACGATACTACATCATCCGCTATTTCTTTTGCGATATATTGTTTGGCAGCACACCCAGAAGTGCAGGTGAGTATTTCTTAAAGCATAATCTATTTGAAACACATTATTTTTGGGTATAGAATTGAATTTTTAATCTGCGATGTTTTTCAGCCATCTCGCTTTACCGATTGTTATATTTCAGAAAAAAGCTCTAGAAGAACAAAAACATCTATTCGGTAACCTGAAGGAAGTGAGACCCAAGGCTCAGGATCTGATTAATATGAAATATTTGGAATTAGTGATAAAAGAGGTTCTGAGGTTATATCCTTCAGTACCTTTCCTTGGCAGGAAAGTTCCAGAAGATTTCGAATGGGGTATATAATTTTTTGATATCTTCATCATGAGGGTAGGGTGTATAAAAAATTATTCCATAATCTTGGGCGATGCGCTATAGTGGATATAGAATGGTATCAGTTAGCTAATCGTGCGTTCTCATCCAAATTCAGTTTTAAAATTTGACCCGAACTGATATACATACAAAGCAAGTTGAATAAAATCTTGTGGGAACATTTTATTTCCATGTATTTCGATATTCGTATTCTTGAAAGTAGTCATTTCAGTTGAACCTTTTTATCCAGTTTGTAACCAAAAAAAAATTTTTCCTGATATAAACATCTTTGCGAAGAGTTGTTACTGAAGTTAATAACATTTATCTTGCTTCAGAAGTGTCTGATTCGTTTTGTAACACTGATNGCACTTTCTGTCGATCTGCCTGGAAAAAAACCGTGCTGATTTTTTGAGACGATGTCAAATTTTATAAGAAAAGTTAACATTTGATTGTAAACACATCTCTCAATGATTTTGCTCATAACCGAGGGAACTGTGATCGGTCGATAATTCTGAATGTTGGTGGGATCATCTTTTTTATAAATAGGGATACATCTTCCTATTCTGAGGGAGTCTGGGAATTCACCTTGAGTTACTGACAAATTGATTATATGCGACAGAGGTTTGGCTATATGTACACCGATTGTTTTTATCAATTTAGTAGATATAGAGTCACTTCCTATGCTGCTTGTATTTTTAAGAGACCTTATGACATCAATGACATTTTCTGGAGATTTTCTGGTTATCGATTTCGTTTTATAAATATGATCCCATTAATTTTTTATCAGCCACTCACGAGGCATTTTTCATATTTATTCTGTATATTCTGCGTATAATTATCATTATATTCTGTGAATGAATATAATGATAATTATTATTTCACCACTCAATCATGAAAACATAAGGCATGATTCTGAGTGGATTCCTTTCTTTTTGAATCGAAATCTCATCATGAATTTTGTACAATGAAATCATCACAAGAGCTAACAACCAAAAACTTCTTCGATAATTTTAATAAATTTTGCGTGACTTGGTGTCCCGATTACGAAAAAGATAAAATAGGTTTTATTACCCTCCAATTTTTCACATTTCGTTATTGAATAAGAATAATGTTTATGTATCAAACTGTATAAAATACTTTTTTTACTTCTTAAATATGTTGAAGTTGGCAACATTATTTCAATGTAATGGGGTTGGTAATGAAATAAAATGTTCTGAGGTTGGTAGTTCTAATAAATTTTATCGCCGTGTAGTTTTTCACTAAGTATAATCTAAATGGGTGTAAATATAAACTTAAATTACTGTGTGCTTTTTAGTAAAAAATCAAAATGGTTGAACGTGATTGTAAACGTGATTTTTGCTATAGGTATTTGTGGTGATTTTGAAATTGAAAAGACATTAAAAAACATTACTGTTTTCGTGAAAAAAGCTTACTTTGCATATTTTAGTAAAAAAGTCATTAATCATACATTAAACAAGACAAGTATGTTATGTTTGTGTCGAGGATCTAAGGAAATGGTATAAAAAATAGAAGATATGGAGAGAGCAAAGAATCATTTAGATGATTGCTATTTTTGCAGTTTAGATGTTAATGGATATAAATCTGAAAATAAAAAAGTTATTTTTTATCTTAACGTTACATCTGCTGATCAGCCAATAGAACATGTCCCTATATGCCATTTGAGGTTATTGGTGATATTTTACAGTAATTTTCCAAATATAGTCAAAGTGAATCGACTGATTTCCAGTGTACTCTGGACAATTTGAAATCACAGTTATTTGCGCAAGCACATTTAAATGATTTACTGGGTTCTAGACTGAAACAGAAATATTTATTGGAACCTGAGACATCTATTTGTTATTATAGAGCAATTCATTTAACTTTACTGCCATGATATTTACGGTCTAATGAATGAATTTGTCACTGAATACAAGAAGAATGGATACTTTTCATTGTCTCCCCAAAAACAAGTTTGAAAGGTGTGTTATAAAATAACGGAAATACTCATGCTCAAGTGCCTGGGGGACATTCAATTCATATGAAGGAAACTTACAAAAATCTTATTATCATTTTGAAGAAAATTAACTATACAGCTTATGATTGGATGCTGTGTGGGGATTTAAAAGTCGCCTCCATGCTCCTTGGTCAACAAAAGAGATTCATCAAGTTTCCATGTTTTATATGTGGATGGTACAGTAGAGCAAGGGATCAACATTGGTCTCAAAACCAATGGTCTTTGAGATCTGGCATAAAAATATTCTACACGAAACTTTAGTTGACCCCAAGAAGATTATTCTAACTTCACTGCACATAAAGTTGGGTTAATAAAACAATTTGTTAGAGCTTTACCCAAAGATGATGATTGTTTTAAATATTTCTTTGCGAAATTTCCCCATTTATCAGAAGCTGAGTTAAAAAAAGCGATTTTCGTCTTGATATCCGTAAATTGATATCCGATTCAAACTTCGAAGCAACAATAAATGAGAAGAAGGCTTGGAAATCATTCAAAGAAGTTGTGATTGAGTTTTTGGGTAATGCCAAAGACCCGAACAGAAAATTAAAACTTTTGGACGCCTGATGAGCCTTAAAGTCCACTTTTAACACAATCATGTTGACTTTTTTCATATGGGATGTGAGTGAAGAGCAAGGGAAACAGTTTCATCAGATAATAGGGACAGTGGAATATCAAAATGATGGGTGATTACCGTTCACAGAGAACAACAAAACGCAATTCATAGGCTTGAAAGCTACGAAAGAAGTTATATGAAGAAAAGGGAGAGAACATTTTATAATTTGAGCATTTTATATCATAATTCAAAGTATCAATTATGATTGTAAGCGAAAATATAACCAATTTATAAAACTATAATTTGCTAAATTTGTATATATCAAATTTTTTTGGAGTAATAAATCGATATCATATTGCGAAAAAATGGTGTGATGAAAAAACTGCTATGAAATATGGTTTCAACATACAAAAATTGATAAGATTTTTTATCTTAACCTGTGTTATTAATGTGCTTGAATAGAAGAGTATTCTCAGTCGTGATCTATCATTGCAGATAATGAATCTTGCTGTTTGTTCAGTTGTTTCTTTTTGTTGGCCAACAATGAGATCCTTATAATAATAATAATAATCATTATTATCATCATTATAGCATTAATTTTCAGGGGGAACAATTTATCCGAAAGGAGTGAATATCCTGTTGCTTATATTTGCAAGTCATCGGAGTCCCAACTATTTTCCGGAGCCCTTGAAATTTATTCCAGAAAGATTCGAAAACTATGACGAGAAACGACCATATTTGTATGTTCCCTTTAGCGCAGGACCAAGGAATTGTATTGGTAAGAAAACTACAATTGTTTTAGTATCATCGATGAATTCAAAAAATGAAATGTTCAAAAACAGAAATTCTGTTCGCTAAAATTGATGATTTCAGAAAAACCTCACTCAAATCACACTAACCAACAAATAAGAAAAATAATTGTGACTAATATTATAATGGTTATAGATGAGATATTTGAGCATCCTGATTGCGATTTCAACATTGAAAATTTTCCATCATGTAAAGATTTTGAGTTAGTTATTTTTATATTATACAAAAAAGTTCACAATATATTTTGAGGATAACAGACTTTATTTACAATACACATGAAAAAACATTCAAATGAAATCTTTTGTGCATAACCTTTTTGCAAATATTGACTTTCGTTTATATGTTTCATCGTTTTCTCCCCTGAGGAACCAACAATAATCCCCCATCATTGCTGCATCCAATCTGCCTTGGTAACATTGCTCCATTGTCAGTATGTCTTGGTGGAACCATTCCCCTGATTCGTCACTGACAGCACCTAAATTTTTTGGGAAAAAAATCAAATAGGAGTGCAAGATATGGATTTTGAAAGACATGCGACATCCCATTCTGCAGTAGTTTTCAAGTAGTTCTTCTAGAAGTGTTTCGTAATTTTCTACTTTCTTGTTCCCGAAACAATTTTTTTGAAAGAACTCCATGCAGCTAATTCAACATTACTTAATTTTTGATCAAATTGTTGATCACTTAGTAGTTTTCTAATTTGTGGTCCCACAAATATACCGTCTTTGAGCTTTTTACCTAATTTTGGAAAAACGTGTTTAAGATATTTGAACGCATCACCTTCTTTGTCTAATGTTTTCACAACATTTTTCATCAACCCCAGTTTATTGTGTAATGGATATAACAAAACGTTTTTGAATTAACAAGAGGTATATTCTTCACGTAGCTTGACCTGGAATATATTTATCTCTCGAAGGCCATTATTTTGCTTGATAATGGCTCTGTGTTGTCCTACTGTTCCATAGGCAAAGAAAACAGCAAAAATTCGTAAATCCGCTCTGAAGACCTAGTTATAGTCCTATGAATTTTAGGTCATCACATATTATTTGCCACTCATACGTATTATAACTTATTGCATTTAGAATAACTGACATACTTTCGTGTGTTTTCTTCATTGCAACCGCATGTGCAAGATGAATAGGGGGTCTTTTGTTACCATTATGGAGCAGAAAGGCTTTTGAACTTGTTTTAGACGAATCTATAAATAAACGCCATTCGTCCAGGTTATGTGCAAATCCTAATTTTTCCATCACACTATTTGGATTTACACAAACACGCATGTTATCCTGCATAGTACAACACGATGATAGCTCATGGTTACAGTTCCTAAATATTGTAATTTTGGTTTTAGGGGCTAATAAATTCCATTGTTGTCATCTAGACCTTAATAGTTCAGCTCTTTGGACAAGTGGAGGTCCCGAACTAGGTCATTTGATTCAGATTGTTCGATTAAATGGGGTGTTCTTTCTTCACTCTCGGGAAAATAAGGACCATCTTTTTCTGGCACATCATGGGAACCTGCCTGGTCATCATACATTTCCAAATCTTCCTCCCAATTTGCCGGGGGTGTTGGAACTTGTCCATGAAGAACCGGCCTTCTTACAGAAGAAATATCCGGATATACAATTTTGTGTTTGCTCTGTCTTGAAAAACCAGACTCGTTTGTCATGCATTGCGGTTCCGTATTTCTAGTATTTTCTTGAAACTTCGAGTATCGAAAGTTCGAGAAGCGGCGTTACAAGTCTCATACACAGCGAAAGCAAATTCGAATACCGGGTAGAACCGCGGTGTTGCCAGATTTTAAACAATTGCTCAATTTAGGGGAAAAGCAAATTTGGAATGTGTTTATTAAATTTTTGTGAAAAAAATCATAACTCAAAAATCTTACGTGTTAGGAAATTTTCACTATCATTTTCTCATTTACAGAACGAAAATTAGCAAAGCACTGCCTCTGGCATTACAGTCGTAAATTGGCTGTATACTAGTGTTATCGATATAATTATTGCTTGTCTACTAGCTTTTGTTCTTTGATATCAAGTACTGTAGTGGAGTGTACTTAAAAATGAATATATTCTTGCAGGTCAAAAATTTGCTATGCTGGAAATGAAGAGCACCATCTCGAAAGTGCTGAGACATTTTGAAATTTTGCCAGCCACTCCAGAGCACAAGTTGAAGCTCGCTCCTGAGACCATTTTAGTATCGAAGAATGGAGTGTGTATATCATTAAGAAAAAGATTCGAGTTGGAGTGATTACAAAAATGTAGATGAATGGTTTTAGTTGTAATAAATTACAATAAAGCAGTGTAACTGGAATTTTTTGCTGCACCACCTAGATCAAAAATGTATTGACTTGTATAAATTCTTGTCTAGTTCCTCAACTTCAATTATAATAATGAAAACACTTTTCAAAACGGTGAGATTCAAATAGCACTTTCAGTATCACTGGAAACTGAAGAAAGAAATTGCTTTCTAAAATACATAGCCAAATTTGAGCTGTCAGAACATGATGCTTTCCTGACTCACGGTTACTTGAAATCATGATAGTGTTGTAATGTTGGTTTCACTAGTCAAATGGAATTGGTTTATACTTCCTTTCTGTTTTTTCTTTGAAGCTTCTTGCGATGAGTCGCTTGTTGAGCTTCACAGTGAAGTGACCAACAGTAGTCTCCCATCATGTTGATATTCTAGCGGCCCTGGTAACGTTTCTCCATCAATTTAATATTTTGGTGAAAACGCTCACCCTGCTCCTCACTAACATCTACCAAATTTTCCGGGAAGTAATCAAGATGACTGTTCAATAAGTGGACTTTCAGGCTCATCAAACATCCTAGTTTCTTAAAATTCTTTTATACACTGTGTCCGTAAAGTATGGAACAAATTCATTTTTAGCTAAACAGGTCATTTTAAGAAATAATCCTGAAACACAAACATAACATACCTTATGCGGAACCCAAGATTCATCCTGATCTCCAAGTTTAATTCAAAATATGAGAAATAAACCATTTTCACTGTAATGTCTGTAAGATATCTTGTTACACCACTAGATATCTCATCAAACTAGGGAAAACATTGGTAAAAATGAAACACACTGTTAACGGTACTTGAGCCAAGATCATACCATACTCATGTCACAGAGGTTGGAGAGGAAGTGGTCTCGGAAAGCAGGTGTATTGGTCTTGGTTTATTTGACAGAAGGCTGTGATTGGTTGGAAGGAACATCGTATGATCACAGCGGTTTATTTTGAATATTCAGAGATCACTCCATTTTGTATTACCAACATACCTTAAATAAAAACTTATGCTATATAATGTTTCATTATATACTTAACACCTTCCTACCAAATTTGGAACAAATTGAAAACATTAAGTTCTAAAATAAAAATTGTCACTATAATATAAGAGTACGTACAAAGGGTTCGAATAGTAATAGTAATAATCTACACACCCATATTCAAGATAAGAATATAGTATCTTAGGATACACAACAAGATAATAACCATAGATAATGCAATAAACTGTCTACAAGTCAAGCTTCTCAACAGGCTTACGCTCTCTTTGTGAACGTCTCACTATACGGGGAGAATGCAAGCTGTTGGTTACAACAGCTGACGGTTCAACAGGGGAGATATCCATATTATTACTGGATCGACGGGATGCGCTGGATTGACAAGGAGTGACGTCAGATGATGTGACCTCCCTGATTCTATTCGTTGCACTGGGAGTGCGGGGGGGAATGGATTGAATGGGGAGACACACAGCTGCTTCATCAGCTGATTGACTAGAGTATTCTAGTGGGTCAACTAACAGCTGTTCACTGACACTACTGGTGTGTTTGTTTACATCTGATTCACCTGTGTCAGTTGGAATATTCTGATCTATGTGTCTTTTCCACAAAACTCCAGAGCCTATTTTTACTGTATACATAACATCACTGATTGGTTTGATTACAACTCCCTCAATCCATTTATTACCTGAACGATAATCTTTTACTAAGACAGATTGATTTATGTATAAGTACCTGGTACTTTTACCCCTAAAGTAAGACTTTTGTTTTTCTTGTTTTTCGGCTACTCTATTACCGAGATTAGGTCGCAATAAATCAAACCTGCTTCTTAGATTTCTGCCAAACATCAGTTTAGCGGGTGTCTCATTAGTGGTTGCATGGATTGCATTACGGTAGTCAAGTAGCATTCTGGTTAAAGATAGTGTTGTGTTTACGTTGTCTCTAAATGCACTACGCAATTCAGATTTTACATATTTTACAGAGTTCTCTGCCAATCCATTGGACTGTGGATTAAATGGCGCACTTGTGGTGTGCCGTATTCCATTACTGCCAAGAAATTTTTGGAATTCAGAAAAAGTAAATGGGGGGCCATTATCACTGTGAATCGCTAAAGGCAAACCAAGCCTGGCAAACATAGATCTTAAGTTTTCAATAGCCAGATGGGCTGAAGTTGAGGCGGTTTCAAACACCTCAAGCTACTTTGAATGGGCATCAACTACTATTAGATACATTTCACCCTTAAATGTAGTAGTTCTGCTTTTGCTGGACTGGGTCGCTCCTGCAGGCAGGATGAGCAACTGTTATCAAGGCGCTCAATATCTGAATCTATTCCTGGCCAGTAAACATAACTGCGAGCCACACCTTTCATTTTAAAAATGCCCATGTGTGAGACATGAAGGTCTCTTAATAAAAACTCCTGCAGGGACTTAGGAATTACAACGCGATATCCCCACATGATAACACCGCATTCCACTGTTAACTCGTCCCGTCTTTGGAAGAGCGCTTGGAGTTCTCTATCCTCTCCTTCTAAGAAGTTAGGCCATCCATTCATAATATAATTAAATACCTTTTTTAAGAGTGGGTCCTTTTAAGTTTCTGTTTTGACAACTTCATAATTGATAGGTACTGAACTTTCCATTATACAATGCAAATATGTTCCTAACCAGCATAACTCATCATCTGCTACCTCTTTGTGATTTACACCAAGTGGTAAGCATGACAAAGCATCAGCGCTATTTTCGTCAGATTTAACATATTTTATCTCAAAAGTGTAACCGGTTAAGAACAATGCATACTTTTGCAGTCTGCCTGCTGCAAACACAGGGATTCCTTTCTCACTTCCAAATATGCTAAACAAAGGTTTGTGATCACATGTGAGAGTGAAATGTCTACCATATAAGTATTGGTGGTATTTTTTTACCCCAAAAATGATAACAGTTGCCTCTTTGTCAATTTGTGAGTAGCTACGCTCTGCAGCATTAGGTGTACGACTACTGTATGACACTGGGCGTTCAACGCCTTCATTATCTATGATACTCAACACGCAACCTAACCCCATGGAGCTTGCATCTACAGTGAGTACGACTGGCGCACTTGGATCATAATGAGCTAATACAGGTGCTGTTATAAGTAGCTCTTTGACCTTTTTGAATGCTTTCAAACAGTTTTCATCAAAAATGAAAGATACGTCCTTCCTCAAAAGATTATACATAGGACTCAAGATACTACTTAAATTAGGCACAAATTTACCATAGTACTGTACTAGCCCTGCGAATGCTTCAACTTGTGTTACATTTTGCGGGACAGGTGCATCAATAACAGCTTTAACTTTAGCCTTACTCGGATGTAAACCGTTTTTGTCTAGCACAAATCCCAAATACTCTATTTTCTTTGCGAAAAAGTCACACTTTTCCCTTTTTACTGTAGAACAGTTTGAGGAGAGGCGTTTACACACTTCTCTAAGTCTATTTACATGGGTCACATTGTCAAGTGCAGAAATCAGAATGTTATCCAGATATGTTACTACTCCATCTACACCTTGCAATGTCTGGTCAATTTTCTGTTGAAAAATACTAGGTGCACTATTTGTTCCAAATGGCAAGCGTTTTACAGAAAACAAGCCTTTATGAGTAGAAATTGTACATAGTTTCTGAGATGGTTCATCTAACTTAAGTTGTAAATATGCCTGACTTAAATCTATTTTGCTAAATCTTTCACCTTTTTGCAACTCGGTGAACAACTCTTCTATTCTGGGTAACGGGTACCGCTCTATCTCTAAATCTTTATTTTAAGCTCGATAGTCGCCACAAATACGAACAGAACCACATTTTTTCAAAACAGCTACTATGGGTGTCGCATACTCAGTAGTAGCAACTGGACTCAAAAAATCCTCGTCTACTAACCGTTGCAGTTCGATCTCTACCTTGGCCTTCAGGGTGAATGGTAAAGGCCTCGGTTTACAATATTTTGGTTGGACATTTCCTTTTAATCTAAGTTTAACTGGGTCCCCCTTGTACAACCCGAGTTTGTCTGTATAAAGACCTCAGAAAAATATTTCACAAGTTTATTCATATTATTTACAATAAAAGGTTCATCATCAGTTACTTTTAAGTTAACCTTAGTCATTTCAAACAAGTTAGGTGATTTGAATGATATTTCAGCCCCTAATGATTGTAACCAATCACGTCCCATCAAAGGATGAGCACCCTTTTTAATGACATACAAATCTAGGTTGCTTTTAACATCCTTATATATCACAGAAACACATACTTTACCCATAGGTGTGATAGGCTGACTAGTATACGAGCTGAGAGACAAATTTGTCGGTTTTAAAGGAAGTTCACTTAAGTTATTTTTGTAAAAATCAAGATTACAAACACTAAAACTTGCTCCAGTGTCGACTTCCATGGAAACAATTTGCCCCTTCATGCTTGCTTCTAAACTAATTGGGTCAACCTTCAAAGACAATAATTTATCTGAATTATCGCTATTCGCTACACTAGAGATAGTTATCATTTCATACAAATTAGCAACACCATCTAGATTGTCATATATGCATTCATGTTGTTCCTCATCGGAATTATCACCAGCAACATAATTATGTTTACTTTTTCTGTTACAGTTGTTATTAAAGGGTTTTGACTTACCTGCTCTACACACTTCAGCAATGTGGTTTTACTTACCACAATTTTTGCATACACTACCTTGTAATCGGCATTCTTTAGATATGTGGCCTACTTTTCTACAACAAAAACACTTCACTGAACTCTGGCATTCCTTAAGGACATGCCCTGGTTTCCCACAACTAAAACACTTAACTTGACTGGTAGTCTTGGAGGACTTCTTGTAGTGGTGTTGACCCTATCCGGAGGCGCCCCCGGCGCTCCAGCGCTTCGACGTTGTCATCTGCTGCAGCTGACCGCCGTCCCCGACGTGGCTATTGGCACCCAGCACCGATGTGTTCTTCTCCGCTGTCTCCACTGACAGAATTATCTTCACAGCCTCATCGTAGGTCATGGATGCT